GTCTCTACATTCGTTATTTTAAAATGTTAGACAAAATGGAAAGTGAAAGAGAAGATTTTTATTCTCTGTCATTCTAAATCAGCTATAGGATAGTCATTGAAGAATTTGCATAATTGGAATTAGTAAACATCATCAGTGCTTCAACAGCTATTTAAGAAATTAATGAGAAATTCTGCATGCAAGGTTTTCTTAACAAAAAAGTGTATCTTCTGCAAGAAACTGCAAAGAAGACATCTAAGTGAAAGAGTGTTGGTGAAGCAGACTTGCATTTTGGATTTTAAGCATTTCTGCAGTTATTTAGCATTTCTGGTGCAGCTTTAAGATGCCTTAAATATTAAAAAGGATTCTTTCCAGACAAGTTTTAAATATTAACCACTTTATTAATTTTTTTTCCAAGCCTCCCAGCACTTCTTCAGATTAATGACTTGGTGTTTATTTTGATCTTTCTATGCTCTGAAAAAGGAACTCATAGACCAGGTATTTTGGTTTCTCTTTTTTTTCATTAGGAACTCCAGATAAATTGATACCGAATAGTCCAACCTCTGATATAAAGACAAAAAGTTATTTTCTTCCTCTTGGCTGTGCTGAATGTCAGGTTATGGTGTTGTGTGTGTGTGCATGCAGACTATCAGAAACCTTTGAAATGGAAAGTGTTATGCCAATATAAAATGTGTAGCATTAAATACTACTTTCATCATAAAACTATCGTTTTCTTGTCTTACAGCAGTCTTGAGTTACAACACACTGTTCTTTCTGCCCCCAGGCAACATGTAGTCAACAAAGTTTAAGTAAAAATCTAGAGATATATATATGTGTGTATAGCTATAATCAGTATCACTTTGTGCTGTCACTTTCCCCAGTAAACACATTGATGGGGAATACTGTTCAGAATAATACCAGGGAGCTTGATCCACGTAATAAAATTTTATCAGATTTTATGAATATACCAGAGGTTTTCTTGTTTTGTTTTGTTTCTTTTTGAATATTGGGGCTGTGGAACTTTTAGAAATGGACATAAATAGGGGGATTTTGAGTCTGAAGAAAGAATATCTTGAAGGCCACCTATCAGAGAGCAGCATAGTTAACCATACCTTACATCCTTCACCAACTCTACATCTATAGATAAGAAGCAGATCAAACAATGAGTTTAGTCAGGCTTTCAGTTGAAATAATTTTACAATCTACTATGCAAAACTGTGAGTCTAATCCTTCAGAGGTCATCTCTAGCAAATCAGGATTGATTTCCACAAGGTTACAACTTTAGTCTAATTAAACTTATTTCAAACCTGGGATCATTGCAAACTTCTAAATATAACATTCAACTTATGATATCTTTCAGAATTTCTGGTGGGTTTTAGCTGACTACGCTTCAGTTAAACTGCATTAGGTAGTCCGTTTGTTTCTTTTGTATTTTTTGGTGTTTTTTCTTTTTCTTTTTTTGTGCGCTTTGTTTGTTTGTTTGTTTTTTACAGACCTGAAGACCTCCTGAAGTTACCAAATTATTCCTTAGTCCTTTGTATGTGTTCTAGGTTGTTATCCTGAAGTTTAATTTGCAAACTTTGTTTAATAATGCTTAAAATGAGGGCATGCTGTCAATCCTTTTGAAGGCATAATCCAATTAATTAACTAGAGCATGAGAACTCTTCTTTTAATACAACGTGTACAAGTTACAACATCTAACAAAGTTGTTAATCTGTGCTGCCTCATCAAGTCTTATTCATAAGATTACCCTGAGCTGTGTATCTGGGATTTCGATTACTTAAAGGTGATACTTACACCTCCTTTCCTTCAGTCATCTGAAAATTAAATCTGGACTAAGTTATGTTTACTTTAATAGACAGCAATAAATATATCATAGTCCGCTATGATAGTGAGCTGACTAGCAATTAGCTAAGAGACCAAAAAATAGAACCCTGATGCTTTTGTGTGTACTCAGTATTTCAGAACTTGACTCACTTTGGAAGACTGCCAGTAATGCAAACTTGAAATGAGGAGAGGATCCCTCACTGCAAACTTTCAATACACCCAGTAAGGGCAAAATTCTAGCCAAGGCAATCAGCTCTGGTGCCAGCAGGATCGACAGAGCAGCATGGAACTACAGCATACAAAGGTTTTTCTGCACTGGGGAAAGTCATGGGAAAACAAAAGCCCACCAGGAGCCAGCAACTCCTAAGAGAGCAGTGGACAATACATAGAAAGGGCCAGGAGTAACAGTAGCACCCTCCACTCCACCACTTTGCACCTGCAAGAAGTTCCAGTCACGTTATCCACCCAGAAGAAAGCTATGTCCTCTTCATCTTCTGTGGCCTTTCCAGCCACTGCAACTGACAAAGTTACCCAGACAGAACCCCCAAGTGAACATGCTTCCATTAAGATCTCAGGTTTTGAGGTGCACCCAGATTTTCTGTCAGGAGATGGATTGGCAGAATCACAATCTACCATCCCTGAAATAGAAACATCAGCCAATTGTAACATAGGAAATAAAATATTTCCTACTCTCTTCCCATACAGGAGAAGGAGGGAAACTGAGATTCAGCGCTGAGTGGAAGAAGGTTTCTGCTCAGGAAAAGGCAAATCATCTCTCCTGCCTACCTCACCTTCCAAGGTGTTTTTACAAAACTGGTATGAAGCTCTGGAACTTAATGGACAGACAAATGATAATGCAGACTAAGGCCTGTCCAGGTTGGAGGTGTTGCCTAGGGAAGTCAGCCTACTCCCTGTATCACTACCACCTCTGCCAAGAAAAAAACAGAAGGGTTGTACTCACAAGTAGTTCCCTTACGAGGGTAATAGAGGACCCAATATGTCAACCAGACCCAATCCACAAGGTACATGGGTAGATGGTACATGAGGCCCAGCACTGCCATCTGAGCAAGAAAAGGGATTGTCCTACTGTATGGGGATTGCTAGGTCTGAACCAGAGATTAGGTACCAGGTGAGAAGGCAAGGCTAACTCAGGGCACACACACATGCAAGCAATGCACCTGGGTAGCTGGAAGGTGTGGAAAAAGTGTCTACCTCTCCTATCTCTTATTTAAGGGTTAATAGCCAAGAGAGTAGGATTTCTGTTCAGAAATTCTAGAATTGTCAGAATTCTAAAATAAAATATCTCTTAGGACTTTCGGTCTTGATCCAATACGTTATAAACAGCTAGGCAAATAATTTTTTAGCTACAAAACTGACTTCTCTATCTTTCTCTATCTCTATCTTTTGAGGTGTTCATTGCACAGATAAACACGATGTTGACTGTTTTAGAGTACAGTGTCAACACGTAGTTCAGTTCTTCTTTCAGAAGAAAAATAGCTTGGATGACAACAGAAATAGTGTTGTTTACTCCATCCTACCTGTTTTGCATGTTTCTTCTGCCCATAGTCTTTATTTTCTATTTAAAACAAGAATTGCCAACAATTTTACTATACATATAAAATCTTTTTTATTCAGTGCATTTCATAGCAAACCTTTTTTCCTAGCAGGTTACAATGAGTCTATTAATGTCACAGAAATTACAAGCAAAAATGTTACATTGATCATCTAATCTCACATTTTTAGTAAAATTTATCCTTAACCAAATGTAGAATTAAAATGAAACCAAATTTCAGTAGATTAGTATTTTAAAACTTACAAGACTTTGTCATATGGAATTAAAATATAAGTCTTCAGTGAGTGAACAGAAGAAATAAGATCTGAAGACTGCAAGGTCAAAAACTACTTCCATCAAGACACTTACCTATTCGTAGCATGTCACCAAAACCAGTCAGTTGTTACTGGTTTATTTGTGCTTGAACGCTATCTGTCTGTCAATAAGTTTTACATAAATATTTTCCAAATATAATTCAAAGAAGACTTGTATTTGTTTCGGAATGTTTTGGATTTTGCCTCAAATTACATAAATTCACTCTGATACACTGCTCAACAATAATTTCTCATTAGGATTTTCATTACAATAATAAGTTTCAGAGTTGGTAATTATAGCATCTAACACAGTGCAACATGTCTAACAAATGTGATGTGGCCTTTTTGTAGTAATTTGGTCTATCCTTTCTGTTATTTGTTATGACTAATTATGAGGGTAGTAGGGGAAAGGGGTAAAGGCCAGAGACATCTCAGATCCTGTATATGTTGATACTGAAGAGAACTTAGCTTCTAAAAAGTTAGGTTCTTTTGACAGCTACTGGATCACTATTGAGCTAATTAATTTCAGAGAAAAAAGTAGTATATGAAGATATCAGAGAAAAAGATGTACCTTCTCAAAAAAGATATTTGAAGTACACTGTAGATAACTTACAATTTGCATATGACATTATGAAAGCCATGGCAGCCGCCATTTTAGCACACTCTCTACAGGGAAGCAAAACATTTAAGACTTTCTGTGGAGGCATCAGAGCCATTCTGTCCTCTGGTAAGCTTGTATTTAATCATTTGTCAACAGCTTTAACTAAAATAAAGCCAACACAAAAAAAGAAAGCATCAGAACTGTGTTCCTGATCATGGTTTCTCCTTACGTTTGTGCAAGCTGTTAAAAGAAGTAACTTTTCCTGTCTTTAATTTTTCTGTAATGTAACAGAAACTCATCAGGATTCATCTAATGATTAAAATGAGATGTGTAAACTCTGGCCAGTGAAGTTTTCAAATATGCATGTTTTGCTATTAAGTGCTGTAGTAATTAATTATAGAAATAAAGATTTCTGTTTTCAGAGCATATCACCACTATATATACTTGGAACCGTTATATATACCATTATATATATTTGGAAGTCCAAAGTACACTAAATCAAAGTACTTAGACTTCAGCTGAGATACTGTTAATAGCTCACAAATGTTTTGGTTGTTGTTAAGTGATGAGGTGTGCCTGGGGCTGGGCCACTTGAATGGCAAGGGCTACCACACTTATGACACGTTGGCAAGGTGAAGGGAGGAAAGAGTCAGTACAGCTGGCCTAAATTAGGCAAGGGATTATTCCTTAATATGTGAAATCATATGGAAGGCTGTAAAGGTGTGGGAGAGAAGGTTAGGTGTGAGCTGTTGCTTGGGGACTGGTTGGGTGACAGCTAGTGGTGTTGAGGTGTTGTGTTGGTAGCAGAGCATCAGTTGGTATGTTGTTAGCATAGTGTTTGTTGGTTGATAGTGAATAATTCTATTGTAGACATATATCTGTATTGTTATCACTGCATTTTTGTTTCCTTTTTCATTTTAGCAGACAGCTTTTATCTTAGCCCATGTATTCTATTTTGTTCCTAATTTCCTACTTTATGCTACATGGAGTGGAGTGAGCTGATGGCTGTGTAGTTCTTTGCTGTTTTCCAGGTTAATCCACAAGAATCCACATAGTTGTGGAGGATTAAGGTACTTAAAATCAATAAGTACATGATGATGTGGTTATTTTTGATTGACGTTCAATAGACATTGTGATATTTTGAAAATGACTAACAACACCTATATTTGTGCGACAGCTGTTCTAGAAAAGATAGCAGACAATTCTGAATTAATAATGTATTCATTTCATCATTTCTGAACTTTGAGTTATTTTTTTGTTTCTTGTGCACCATGTTTCAAACATTCAGCTAAGTCTAAAAAGGAAGGAAAAACAACAACAGGATTTTTAACAGTGAAAGAGAAAATGTAGTGCAGTACTAGTATCAACATCAAACAATACCCTATTTAAATACTTCAGAGTATTGAGTGAATCTATAGGTTTTTCAGTGTGTACTACAGAAGGAACATATTTGTGGCACAAAATGAGTTCAGTCTTAGACTTCACATACTCAGTAAATATTGTGTATTTGCAGTGTACAGCATAACATATTGGAACAGAACTGGAGGTGTTATTATGATATCAGCACAGTGTACAGAATAATTCTCGTTTCAGTTTTGAAATCTGAAATTATTATAATTAGCTTATTAGGACATTATAAAGATTCAACTTGACTGTAGTCTTAACAAGCTACAGCTTATCTATCTTGCATGTTCTTGCAGTATGTCTATGGACCACATTTATATCAGTGATAAATTTTCTGTATATTACTAGAGGCTCATGGCTTTTGTTTATAAGGTGCTGACTTACTTTTCCTTTATCTCTTAAGGGATTAATTTTTTTCTTTTTATCAAATGCTGCTGGAATGAGTCATGTAGTAAAACAAAAAACAAACAAACAAAACTGAGTAATTGTTCTTTAGTATTAAAATTCTGTAGGCCATGTCTTTGTTAGTCATGTTTACGGTTTTCAGACAGAAAATGCAATCAGTTTGTCAGCCTCACATGCTGTCAGTTAGTTTGTCAAATGGCTGAAATGACAGGCTGTTATTTTCCACTTGTAAACAGAGAAGAATACTTATCCTGTATCCAGTCAATACTTTCGCAGTTCTTAATCAGACTTCTGCAGTACACTCACCCTGAGACCATAACGACAAGCAAACTACAGAAAAGTGCCATTAATTCATGGTAAGTGAAATCAATCTTCCACGAGCATTAAGGTCACTGACTGAACTGCACAGAGGTCTTACTTCCTCAAGTTCATTTTGAAGTTAGTTGAACTGCTAACCTAGATTTCTGGATAGCAGACCCCTGTTTATAAAATATTTATAGGCAACTTACATGATTTAAAAAAAAAAATAAATCCTGATGAGATTTCCTCAAGCATCTGAGAAATGCTCTTTGCTTAAAGGGACTTTTAAAAGTGCCTTCAAAAATTAACGAGTTATGTAGCCAGCAAATTGTGAATCATCAAAACATCAGAGTCTCAGTTTTTGTTATGTTAATCAATATGTTTTTCCCCCTGTAATTTCATGTAGTCTAATTTTCAACTGTGCTCATAAGACTGAGAAAGACTTAGCTCCATGGTCTCACAAATGCTGTCCTGTAGTTGACACATATTCTGGTTTCAGATGGGACAGAGCTGGTTATCTTCATAGTGTCTGGTATAATGCTATGTTTTGGCTTAAGGGGAGGAAACAAAAGCCACTGTTGATAACACACTGGAGTTTCAGTTGTTGCTGAAGAGTGCTGTACAGAGCAAAGATATTTCACTTTTCCTCTTCTACTGTCCTGCCAGCAAGGGAGCTGACCTAAGCTGGCCAAAGGGATATTCCATAGCACGTGACATCATGTGGAAAAAAAGCCATAAAACTGAAGGGCGTTGATTGAGGAAGCCGCCACTGCTCAAGGACTGGCTGGGCATTGGTCAGAGGATGGTGAGTAATTGCTTTGTGCATCAGTTGTTTTATGTATATATAATATAAACATATTATTGTTATATAAAATATTATCTTTACTGTTATTTCTCTTCCTTATTTTAGAAAATAGTTATTTTATCTCAGCCTTCAAGTTTTACTCTTTTTTTTATTCTCTCTCCTACCCCACTGGGAAGAGGGGGAGGTAGTGAAAGAATGTACGTCATTCAGCTGCTGACCAGGTTAACTACAACAGCACGTATTTGTGCATATTTTTTCCTATAAACCATCTTGATCCTTGAGTTTTCTCACTTCTTTTCTATTTTCTTTCTGTCCCACAGCTGAGATGAATTAGTGAAAGGCTGCGAGGGTGTTGTCTAGGATTAAGCCACCACAGGCATGAATCCTAATACATGAGGAAGAAATTAATGAGCATAAAAGCAGGCACTGCTGTGTATTGTATAAGCTGTTTATAATATGTTTCTTTGTTTAAAGAAAAAAAATTAGTTGTTGGTTACATTTAGAATCTTAGTGTTAATTTATCACTGAAACAGGAAATACTGGTTTTCTTTTAAAGTCTGCATCTTTTGAAATCTGTGACATTTCTATGAACATCTGCAAAAAAATTAGGATATTGTAGCTGATTTCTTTCTAGTCATAGTCACATTCAGATCATAAGATTGTATTAATTTCACCAAGAAGGCATGCAAAGAAGAATTTTGCTTTCTCTTAAAACAAAAACCTACCTAAATGATCTAGTCTTACTTGAGATATGGGTTTAAATTTGTAAATCATTGTTCCTTTGAAGTGTACATTTGCTAGTTCTAAGCTTATATCTGCTTTTCATGATAAGCATAACTCTTGACCTCACTTGCTACTCACTCCATTACTATCCACTTTCCTAAAAGATCACAAATACTCTTTCAAAATGCATGACTGTTTCTGAAAGCATACAGCATCTGATAGGCCAGGATTGAGTTAATGGTGAGCAAAATTAGTAGATGAAATTGAGTCTTACTTAATTGAGTTACATCCTTGGGAGTACTATTTAACCAAATTTATTCTGTTCATTCTGGAAAAAAAAAAAAAAATAGAGAAAAGAATAAAGAATGAAATTAAATGAATTTTTAAAATATAGTGACATTCCAGGGAATCTCCAGGAACATTCCAGGGTTAATGTTTTCCTTGGCTGTAAAAAATACCTTCCAAGCATACTTTGTACTATAAACAGAATATATCTACTAATAGGGAGTAATGCACACCCTCATATTAGTGTCACGTACTATTGCAAGATGAAAGTTTTACCAGTGCATGAGTCAATAACCTGTTATTCAGCTTCACTGAAATCAATTTCAGCTTTTATCTTAGAGTATTTTCTCAAAAACTTATGACTCTTTTCCTGATATTGTTGCACTAATTGTAAGTATTTTTAAAAATATCAAACGACATTTTCAATCTCATACAATACAGACCCTTGACTATTTTTTCTTTGATTCTAAAATCAATTTGTCATACTGCTTATTAAACAAGTTTCATAGGCTGATATATCTGTATTTGGATACTTGGAGGAACTGTGAAACTCTGGATGCATGGATTAGATATAAATGCTGACCCAAGAGGCACCAATATGGATTGAAATACTGGGTTTTGGTTCTATCAGTGCTCATAGAAAGAATCTTTCAGAAAAGCAAACACAATGTTACTTTTCATAGAACTATACCGTGAATTTACTGGGACTGAATTGTTCAAAAGCATTCAAGAGAAAAATATTCTTCTGTATGTTTCATGGTTGCTTTTTAACATGAAATATGTATAATTACATGATACAGCCCTCTATATAGCCCAAAGAATTCAATCAATCAATTCATGGTCAGTTGTTTCGTGGTCAATCACTTCTAGATTACATGAATGTCATATTCCCCTTAAACTTCAATTTCAGGCTTCAGGGTACTTAAACAGTGAATTTAGGTGTGTTTTTTTTTTTTTTTTTTTTTACAGCATTTTAGACTTCTGTAAACAAGTGTGAATTCCTTACTGAGAGTAAGAAAATAATGGGTTTATTTCAATTAGATCTCTTACCTCGAGGAAATTTGTGCATGAGAGTTTTTCATTTAAAGAGAAAGATGCAATATTTTCCAGCAGTCCTGAATTACTAAGCTCAATATGAGATAATTTAGGAGATTGAAAAGATTTTTGACATGCATAGGGTCAGAGGGAATGATCCTTAATCATTTTAATGTATTTGAACTTTATGAATGAATCATATTGTACAACACCCTTATAGTCAGACTAATGCTGAGTCAGTTTACATAGGTGTAGTGGTCTATGTGCTGTTTTACTATCCATGCATGCACTAGTTCTTTGCCCAAGTGTAGCAAACCTTACTATTTATTAAAGGCACATAAAGCCTAGTGAGAAATAGTGCATAAATGAAAAATGCACATGGGCTACTTTTTTTTTTTTTTTTTTTTTTTATATCAAGCTGTGCTGACATTTCTCCCCTGTCATTCTAACATTCCTGCATTTCTAATTCCTGTTTTAGTTCTGGTTTTCCTTTCACTTGCTGAAATAGCAATTTTTCCCGACATTCTGCTGATTTTACTGTGATCAGTTGAAGGAGCTAGGGAAAAAAATAAAACAAAATAATGAACATATATAAATATATGCATGAAGTGTGCCTGAAAGTAATGCCTCATATTTTATTACGTTGGCCCAAGACATCAGAAGTAGATGGTGGTGTTATGGCAGTAGAAGGTGAATATTCCTGCCAATTTCCATTCAATTTTGCTGCTTTACAACAGATGGCAGCAGAGGGGCAGTCTGACAAAACATCACCTGATTTGGAAATGTGTATGAAGCAAAGGTGTGGAACTGAATCCCTCCATGCAGAAGATATGGCAACTAAAAATGATTGACAATTGCTGAATGTTTATGTAGACAAAACAGTGAATGGGAACACAGTGAGGTGGTCAGTGCAATGTGTTTCAGTGGTGGTAACAGCGACACTGTTCAACTTTTCTAAGGCAAATGATTACAAATGTAGTATGTAGGCTCTTGTTCATTGCTGATAAAAAATAGTGGAAGCTGTGTTGAAAAACTGTTTTGTAGCTTTGAGTTTGCTCTATCAGTGTTATTGGTCTAAATTTTATCTACTGCAATTTTCATAGAAATAAATAAGAGGCATTACTTCTGGAGTGACAATACATGCATGTGCACAAACACACATATATATAAAAGTTTGTTCTACAGAACTTCAGTTACCTGGTAGAAAAGTAGACTTACGTAACATTTGAATAAAATATCTAACTTCTGAGTCATATATCCTGAAGACATGACTGATTTTTGAAGATACCTAGGTTGCTAAGAGTACACAGCAGGAGATGTAAAAAGTTAATAGCTGAGACCAATGAAGAGACAAGTGGGACAAGTGTAAATAGAAGGATGAGAAAAGTATTATAACATAAAAGTTATCTCTAAAATCAATGTCTCTTCACTGTATGTCTTCATATAGCAGCTCTAATACAACTCTGACAGTAGAGGTCATATAGCCCATTACAAGAATTAAATTACTAATGGGAAAAAAAAAGGGGGGGGGGGGGATGAGAAATAGAAAGCTACCTCTGGAAAAAATAAAACATTAAGTATGTTTTACATCATGGAAAAATGCAAGGTGTGTGTAAATCTATGCTACTGTTCGAGGAAGTAAATTCTGTCTGCCTACATTCAACTCCCTCCAGAGAGTTATAAAGTTTTGATAACAGAAGTCTGAGTAATGAAGTGACAAAAAGAAATATAGTTGTTATTTGGGACACCAGCAATAGGAAACTAAACTTTTGTTTCAAGAACTGCTGTTCTTGCAGTCAAATTCTGCTGTTAGATATGAACACGAACTTTTGTGTGATGGCAGTGTTCTGACAAAAAAAAAAAAAAGAAGTTTAACAGAAACCTCAGCACAATGAATACCATAAAAGGCTGCAACAGAAGAATGTGATTTATCTGCTACTCTAAGAACTGTATTGGAAGTAAGAATAGTTGAACTATGTACTTGAAGTATTATAAGAAAGGTTATTAATGAAATCTGGTGGGTTACTGCTTATAATATTAGATAAGCTGGTATCTCTGCTCAAATCTGTACGTCTGTTTATAATATTTTTTCAGTGTTTTGTAATAGATTATTAAATAGTTTATTGTCTGAATAGAATAGTAAAAATCAGTAAAAACACACTGAGACTATTGTAGCAATGATTTTTCCACTACTTGTAGTGCTGCACTTGTCCTTTCTACATCACGTAGTAGGAAAGAGCAAACTTCCAGGTAAGAAAGATTAGAATTGTGGAAATGCACTGGGTTATGCAAAAAAAGTAAAAGAATGAGAGGTATTAGAGAATTAGAATTAGAAAAATTACATATTTTAGGTGAATAAAACCACGTTTGTTTTGGTTTGGAGGGGGCTACAAATAAATTGAGTTCCAGTGGCTGGTCAAAGCCTAGTCAATGATAGCACCTTTAAGAAAGGGAAATAATGCATCACATCAGCATGTGTGAAAGAGAAGTGAGAAGAAGATTCACAAAAACCAAGGTCAGTGAAGATGGAGGAGGAGGAGGATGTGCTCCAGGTGCTGTAGAAGATATTCTTGCTCTGGCCTGACATTGAACACTGTGTGCAATTTTAAGTTCCACAACATAAGTAGGCCATAAAGCTATAAGACAGCATCTGTATAGGGCTCCAAAGATAGGGAAGAGTTTAGAGGTCAAGATTTATGAGGAGCAACTGAGGTCCCTTGGCCTGTTTCTCTCAGGAAACTGGAGGGTGAGGCCTCATGGCAGCTGCAGCTTCTCAAAGGAGCAGAGAGGCAATGCTGAGCTCTGCTTTCTGGTGGCAGCAACAGGACTTGAGGGAACGGCTTGGGATTGTGTCTGGGAAGGTGCAGGTGGGGTGATAGAAAAAGGTTCTTACTGGAGAATGGTTGGACACTAGAGCAGGCTGCCCAGCACAATGGGCACAGCCACAAGGGCCAGAGTTCAAAGAGTATTTGGACAACACTGTCAGACACAGGGTTTGAGTTTTGGATGGTCCTGTGTGGAGACAGGAGCTGGACTCAATGGCCTTTGTGTGACTCTTCCAATTCATAAAATCATATGATTCTATTATTATAACCATCTAGCCGTTCTGGTCTAGAACTGGCAAAGTATCAAAAGTTGAAATAGAACAGAAAAAAAAAAAAAATACACCAAGGGAAAAATGAAATTATAAAAATAAAAATAATATATTATATATATTATATAATATATTATTTTTATTTTTTATTTTATAATTTCACAAGTTTAAGTAATTCAGTGGCCCACTAAAAATTTAAGTACTGCAAATCAACTTAACAGTTAGGCAGGTCCTTAGGGAAAAAGATTGTACATAAAAGAGGAAAATAAAAAAATCAAACACATATATTCTAATGCTGTGAGTGAAAAGTAATGATTGTCACTCTTTCTTTCACTAAGAATAATAAGGCTTTTTTTTCATACAAACCCTGAATATATAAACATCATTCTTTATTACAGAATGACCTGTGTTATGAAGGAAATTCATTTCTAGCTGTTTCACTTCTTGCAACAAAAAAAATTGATCACAGACAAATAACCTCTATCTCCATGTTCCTTGACATTTATTGAGATTGATTTTTTTTTTTTTTTTTTTTTTGAGCTATGTCAAAAATTTTGAAACAAAATGAATTTTCTTTCAACTAAATAAGCAG